CCCCAAAACCCCAAAACCCCAAAACCCCAAAACCCCAGGGAGTGCTAAATATTTTGAATAATAAAGATAGAAATATGAATGCCATAAATTATTGTAGCTATGAGCTTGGTGAGAACCTATCTGAAGATGTACTTAGTGAAGGCACCCCCACTAGTCCAGTAAAGGTCTCTAAAAGACTTAGTCATAATATGGAAACAACTCCTTTTAAGATTTGTAAATCTAAGAAGTTAACAAAGGATTTATTGAAGAGTATCAGGCTTCTTAAGAGTTTGAAGCATAAGAGAAAAGGAGTTTCATATAAGAAAATGTACCCAAAGAATAAGTTCAAGTCTTTTAACGAAGAATGAGATCCAACCCGATTTGAAAGATTATTGAAGAAGAGTAAAGAAGATTCGACATCCCACCATAATATGTCATTGAAAGATGGAATTAGTAATACGGTAAAGAAATCTGAGGGGATCCGGAAAAGTACTTTTGCCCCCTCTAAGGTGTACCAGATGAACTCTTCATCAGTGTCAGAAGACCAAGAGAGTAGTGAAGAAGAAAGAGAACTGTTCACATTTGGAAATGATTCATAATTATCTTCATAATCTTAATATTCACCAGAAAGTGTTTTCTTATAATATTTCTTATTTGAAATCTCTTCCTAAATTCTGGAAGCCAGCAATGAATGTTAGTATTCTTTTTCGCTATTGATTTCTTTGAACTTATCTTCCACCAATGTATTGGTAAAATATTAATTACAGAGAGATAGTACTGGAGGCTTTCAGGTTTGGAATTTCATCCTTTACCACATATTTTAAGATAGTATTCTAAAATTTAATCCTTCAGTGAATATTAGCTTTGAAAATATTTAGCTCGACTGTTAGCTCAGATGATGCTGTTCTATTTATCCAAGAAAGTTTAAGATTTTGGTAAGGATTAGCAATAGAGTCAATCATCCTAGTCATGGTAGTATTGCTGTATTTAAACTTAAAATAATAAGTTAATGAAATGTTAGAAGGGACACAGTTATGTAGTCTATTAAGTTGGTATTCAAAGAAACAATAAGCAATCCTTTATTCATATATGTCGAAGTTTTATCATCTTTGAATTTATAACATTTTGAATTATATCAAAATTTCCTTGATGCTAGTCAAAATGAAGTGTCTTTTAATACCATACCAATTATTTAATGGCACTCAAATCCCGTACCTCAATCATCTTTAAACTATTTTCTCAATACTTATCATAAAGCCAGGTCTCCAGAACTCCCCAGAGCCTGACTCAACACAAGAATACTCTCATCTCTGACCTCCTACCAATAACCTGCATGCATAGGAAGCCCTGACCAATATGCTCTTAAAAATTAGCAAATCCCCAATAGTCTAAAATAAATTTCTTCTTCAATAGAAAACTGACAGGCTGTTTCTTGCTGAAAAATCCATAAAGATTTGTAATAAATGTAACTGAAACGAATTTTAAGGGATCCAAAATTTTCTGGAACGAACACTATTGAAGTAAATATCGATATTTAGGTAACTGAAGAAGGCAGAGGAGGGATAAAATTTTTGAGTGAATTGGAATTTTAAGCGAATATTTCTTAAGAAATAAGTTGGTCATTAGCTTTTTTAGTGAGAAAATAATTATGATCAAAACAAGCTTTCTCCCTTGATTTTAGATATAAAGAGTTATTTTTAGAGCAAGATGTTCTTATTAAAATTGTTCATATTGATTGTAAATAATTTTTATAAGCTTTTGAACTATATAGTTGATTATAATAGTATGATCTTAAAGAACTATTAGCGAACTCCAGAAAATATATATCTAAGATTTTAACTTAATGAACTTCATAAAGAAATATTTGTTCAGTTAAGTGAAGTCAAGAGACTTTCATGCCAAGAGGAGCACCAAAATGTGACATAATGGTCCACTTATAATATTCACGGTTATAATATAAATTTTCGCACCAATTAGTGTGTATTTTCTTGGGGTTTTGGGGTTTTGGGGTTTTGGGG